AAACCATGCCGGAAAACCCCTTCAACCACCCCAAAAAACCTCCACAACAGCCCCGAAAATCTCCAGCCCCAGCAAAAAAACCCCACCCCAGCCTCAAATCACCAACCCCCCACAACGAGTTTCCAGGAAAATTGGAAATTGCGAGCCCTAAAAACCAGTGGATTTCTTTGTGGTTTAATTTCTGTTCGTACTCTCTTCATTCAATTAGTATTTATATGTTTTGATTATTTTCTTGAATTGTTTTGTTGATTTTGTTGTTGAAATTGAATTTAGGGTGAGTGATCGAGATATCAAATGCTTTCCTTGGAAACTGATCTTAATAATCTGCCATTGACGACTAACACTGCTACGGGGATAGGGCGGCGATGCGGTGGGGAATGCAGTGGTTGTGTCCGGCGCCTTGGGGGGTAAGTAAGGTTGCTGGGGAAAGCAAGGGCGGGGGATGGGGAGGGGAATGCAGTGGCGGGGCTGCGGCAGGCCGAGGCAAAGGTGGGGGGTTTTAGTTTTTTTGAATTAATTTTGCTTTTTTTTTTTTAATTATTAAAAATTAGAATAACCCTATTAAAATCCGACATGTGTCTTAAACCTAAGGAATCCGGTTACTAAAATAATCAAATCGGTCAGGGATTGTTAGTGGAAGATCCCTACCATAGGTGGGATTGTTTCTGGAATTTCAAAAGGTGGGATTGTTTATGGAAGACCCACTAAAGGTGGGATTATTAGTTTACAATTTTCCTATTTTAATTTACGTTTTATTTTATTTTATTTTATTTACTTTAATGATATATTGATTTACTTTGAGATGTATTGATTTACTTTTGATTTATTTATATGAATTAGTGTACAATTTCCTTAGAAGAGAGTGTGTTTTTAGCGTCTTCTAGTTATGATGATGGCTTGCCCATTAATGCTGCAATGCCTCATTCACTTAATGTTGATCACGTCATCATGATTAGGTTGAGTTTTCATAATTGAACATGTGAAGATTAGCCCACCCAAAAAATGATCGGGTTGAGTGATGTTGTGTTGTAGCTGCTGCCACCCAAGCCTTGCCAAGGCTGCAGCTGCTGCCCTAGAGGCCTTGCCAAGCCTGCAGCTGCTGCTCTACCAATGCTGCCAAGGTTGCTGCTACAGCTGCTGCCCTGCCAAGGCTGGTGCTGTAGCTGCTGCCCCGACATGGCCTACTGCTGCAGCTGTTGCCCTACCATGGCTTGCTACTGCAGCTACTTTTGCCCTGCCAAGGCTGTTGCTGCAACTGCTGCCCTGATTTTCATTATTTTTATTTTTTTGATTTTATCTGCTTTTTCAATATGTCCCTTCTCATTGTGGACATGGTCCTTTCTGCATATATATTAGGATAGTAATTAAGCTTTTCTTATTTACTTTTGAGTATTTTTTATTTACTTTTGAGTATTTTTATTTACTTTTGTGTTTTTTTAGTATGTAGAAATAAAAATGATCGATTGTGTCAACTAATTATTCTTACTCTATAATAGCCTACTAGCTCAATAGGTAGAGCGTGTGTAAGTGCACAAAAGATGTAGGTTCGAATCCCACGTAGGTTCTTCTAATGTCTCGAACCATTGTAATGTAATTATTATTTTTATATACTTTTTGAGTTTTTTTTTAAATTTGAGTAAATATTAACTACTTTAAAATGAAATTATATACTTGCTTTAATGATATTTTGAGAAATTGTTTAGCATTATAATTTACTTTAGAGTAATTATTATTTACTTTTGACATAATTTGCTTTAATTTTGATTTTTAACAAGATTATCTCCTAGACTAAGTACACACCAAACTCACCTCTTTGCAGAAACTAAAACCGCACCATTTGAGTCCCTCAAAACCCCTACATAAATTCTACTCACAAAATGAGCATCTATATTCACCTTTACCCAACAGGAGGGAATTTCCACGTGTTTACAGTCGACAAGTAACACAAGGTGAATCACTATCTAAATACTCTCTGTGCATAGATTAAATAATCCTCCACCATCTTTTATTTACATAACCCGCAGCAAAGGCAACATCATCATTGTCCGTGTATTTCTACATGTCCATGCCGCCCACATCAAAGTAGCTACTGTCCTTAACTAACCAGAGCTTAATTTCAAAGCAAGCCAAACCCATCTTTCTGTAAACAAGGCAGAGGGTGCATCAGCAATCACAATAGCCAGAGAGTGATGCTACCATTTAGGAGTTGCCAACTTACACTCCAAAAATGGAATGAATTATTGTCTTAGAGCTAGCACCACAAATTGGGCAGCATCCCCTACTATATGACGCTTTTGAAGCCTTTCTTTGACTGCCAAGCTGCCTTTACAGGCCTTCCACAAGAAGTGTCTCAGGTTTGGTAGACCTCGTAGCAACCAAATCCCACACCAAAGGTTCTCCTCCCCACCATTTATACCATCAGCAAACTGATCTTGATGACCCAATTTTGCAAGTCAATAACCAGATTTTACAGAGTATACACCTTCTTTAGAGATATATTAATTTAGTTTTACTGATTTTCTATTTACTTTTGAGAATTTTTTTTACTTTAGTGTAATTTTTCCTTCATCATTAATCTATCAAATTGAGTGACAGTAATGAGAGCAGGTGTGTCCATTATAGGATCGAATTAACCTCATGTTACAAAGAACATATAAAACAACCTCTTTTGTTTGTATTCCTTAGAACTAATTTGATTTACTTTTGAGATGTTTTGTATTACGTTAGAGTGTCTTATGAATACTTTTAGAGATAACCTATGTAGGAATCGAACCTACACCTCTATGCATCCGCATAGTGCTCTACCATTTGAGCTAATAGGTTTACTTTAAAGTCTTTTTTATTTACTTTATATTAGATTAAATTTACTTTTAATTTAGAGATAACTGATCCAAGAATTAACTTATTCAACCTATTAGCTCATCTTCTGTAATTACTCATCTTCTGTATATTTATGTAGGATCATCTTTTAGAGCAAGATACTGAGTTGTTATTATGTTATTACTTTGATACAGATATAAAATTCAAAGCTCACTCTTCACTTGAATTATTTTTGTGATTTACTTTTTGTTATTTTTATTTACTTTTAAGTTATTTTTATTTACTTTTAAGCTATTTTGAATAACTTTAAAGTGTTTTTATATTTATTTCTAATAGTGCTCTACCATTTGAGCTAATAGGTTTACTTTATATCTCTTTTTATTCACTTTGTGTTCTTTTTTTAAGTTATTTTTATTTACTTTTAAGCTATTTTGAATAACTTTAGAGTGTTTTTATATTTACTTCTAGAGAACCTATGTAGGAATCGAACCTACACCTCTATGCATCCGCATAGTGATCTACCACTTGAGCTAATATGTTTACTTTATTGCTCTTTTTATTCACTTTATGTTCTTTTTTTATTTACTTTTAGAGACAACAAATGTATTTCTCGTCTTTTAGAGTTTACTGTGTTAGTTTCAAAGATAACATTGCTAAGGCCAGCTTCCATAGTAATTGTTAAGGCAACCTCAAAATGACCTTTCATTAAACTATAAGCCAAAGACACAAACATAGCATAGCTTTGATATGAGCACAAACCCAACGCCAAAGACACAAACAACAAAAAGTCCTCATTATTGGCATTAGTTTACTTTACTTTTAGAGAGGTTTAGTTTACTTTTAGAGAGATTTGGTTTACTTTTATGAGATGTATACATAATAATTAAATTAAAATTTTCTAAATGAAATGGACCTCAGAGTGAACATCAAGTGTGTTTAAGACTTCTAACCACCATTAACAAACAACATATATATGATCCCTCAAAAGAAAATTATACAATGATGAGCCTAATTACCATCAAAGCTAACATATAAATTAAAAAGGGAACAAAGCAAGACTAGCTAAGTTGAAAAAAAATACATAAAAAATGGTTCTTTTATTGTTTTTATCAATGTGACATTAGAAGAGAGAACAAGTCCTATTTCATCCATAAGGACTATGAGTGTTTTTTGCATGCAATCAGAACCCCAGAATTTGCCACACACAAACCTTTTTATAATAAGAGCTTAATATTCAGAGAATAAGCTAAGAGCCTAGGAGTTAGCTGACCTAATGCAGTATCCAAACAAAGTTACATTATAGGGCTACATCTCGTGGACTCTAAGAGGAATTATGAAATTATCTACAAAGAACTTTAGAAGCAATTTAGTTTACTTTTAAGGATGTCTAGTTTAATTTAAGAAGGTTATTCATTGCCAATTTAAGCTTTACAACATTATTTTGAGGGATAAAGCCACTAAAAAACACCTGAATTGTTATTTTCCCTGCTATAGGATTGTCTTCTTGACAAATTGCATTAGCTTTAAAGGCAAATTTAGCAAAAACAATCAGCTTGTGAACTTTGTTTCTTCTCCTCAAATGCATCACATATAATATCTGAATTAAGTGGCACATTGTTGAAGCTTAAAGGTTTTGATGATGATGAACTTAAACTAAAGCAAACTCAACTAATAAAGGTTTTTAAGTATTTGATTAGTTTAGGTGAAATTGATCTTGGTGATGGAAGAAGTAACTTGAGCTAAGAAGACTAAAGGAGCCTTTAAACAGAAAGTTAAACCAGATAGAAGAAGAATTCTCTAACAAGAACTAAGTTTCCTAACAAGAACGTTCCTTAACAAGAACTTGAAGACAACATGCTGAGTGAAGGCAGTAAGTTCCTTTAGGAACTTAGTCTGCGTGAAGCCCAAGTAATCTACCTATACAGAATATGGCGCAGCAATATTATTTAGTTAAGATTTTATCTTCTAGATTTATTGCTAAATATGTTAAGTAGGTTATGCACGAGATTTATTAGAAGCGTGACAAGTTGCTTGGTAAATAAAGATAAAATTGGAAAAGATAAAAAGATAGATTTTGTGAAAAGATTTTATTTAAAATTTGTTTCATAAAATCGGTTTTAAAAATATTTTGTTCTTTTTAATATTTATCTTTCTATCTTATTTTTTTCGGAATAGATTTTCTCTAAAGATGATTTACTTAAATCGTGTTTTTAAGATAAAGCAAGTTAACTTCTTTATCTTTTAGAAAACCTACTTGCTATACAAGTTGTACTTGTATAAATAGTAGAGATCGAATTGTTTTAGGTTTTTGTGAGTTTATGTGTGGAGAAATCACAGAGCTTTAATTGAGTAAGTCTACCAAGCTTCTAACCTTATCATATTAGTTTCGGATTTCGTGCATTACTTACCTATCATATACTAGGTTTCATTACTTGTATTGGTTGGGTTATTTGAATGTGTGTGTTTAATATTTACATACAGTTTGTGTAAGCTTCTAGTGTGAATCTGAGAATTTATGTACTTTGGGAGTACGAGTAAATCTAAGTGTGGTGCTTAGATTGGATAGGATAGGGTCTTGCTGTGTAGCAAGTTCTTTCTGAAACTTGTGAGTAAAGATCTGATTATAGTAGGTTGTAACTTGGTGTTTGCCCTATTATAGTGAAGTTGTTTGTGGTTGAAATCCCTAATATAGGGTCGAGGTTTTACTTCTAGTTGGGCCCTGGAAGGTTTCCTCGTAAAATCTGTGTGTCTTTGTAAGTTCCTATAAGCATTGTTTTATTATTCCGCAAATGTAGTCACTAGGAACTCACATACAATTCACCCCCCTCTTGTATTGTTTGTCTCAACTAACAATTGGTATCAGAGCAAGGTTCTCACGTGTAAGCAGATAACTTTGTTGAGTAAGTTCCTGGAGAGATGAATTACAAGGAGAAACTTGAAGAAGGGTATTCCACCCAACGTCCACCCATGTTCAATGGTAAGTTTTACACCTACTGGAAGAACAGGATGAAGATCTTTATCAAGGCTGAAAATTACCAGGTTTGGCGTGTTATTGAATCTGGTGATTTTGAAATAACCTCAACCAATGAAAAGAACGAGGTAGCTCCTAAACTTATTTCTGATTATGATAAAGAAGATTATCATAAACTTGAGTTAAATGCTTTAGCTATAAAATATTTGCATTGTGGACTTGGACCTCATGAACATAATCGTATCATGGGATGTAAGTCTGCTAAACAGATTTGGGATCTACTAGAGGTAACTCATGAAGGTACAAATGAGGTAAAACGGTCTAAAATTGATTTATTGATGTCTAGATATGAAAGGTTTGAAATGCAATCTAAGGAATCTATAGAGGAAATGTTTACTAGGTTTAATGATATTATTGATGAGTTAAATTCCCTTGGAAGACACATTCCTATCAATGAACATGCGAGAAAGATCTTAAGAAGCCTACCACAAGATGAATGCTGGAGATCCAAGGTTACTTCCATGCAGGAAGCCAAGGACTTCACCAAGTTCAACATGGAACAACTAGCTGGATCATTGATGACTCATGAACTTCATCTGAGTTCCAATACTAAAAGCTCCAAGAACAAGAGTCTTGCTTTGAAGGTTCAAGATTCAGAGGACTCAGAAGTTGACGAGGAAGAGATGGCAATGCTGGTAAGAAGGTTTAAGAAGATGATGAACAACAGGAAGTTCGATAGGAACAAAAGGAGTACAAGTTCCAGAGACACGACTTGTTTCAAGTGTGTGTCTAAAGATCACTTCATTAAGGACTATCCTCTTAAGGAAGGTGACAAAGGAAAGACTAAAGGAAAAGAGTGTTCCAAGGAGTAAAGAGTTTATAAGCCTTACTTCACGAAGGACAATGTGAAAAAGGATATGCTAGGTGCCTGGGGAAAGAAGAAGAGGACCAACCTTCAGAAGAAACTGCTCATCTATCTCTAATGGAAAAAACAGATGAAAAGGCAAAACTGAAATCACTAGAATCTGAGGTATGGTTTTCTCAAAAAGATTTAAAACATTTCTCTAAAGATAATTTGATATTTGCTGTGTTGGATATGCAAGAAGATTTAAAGGAATTATATAAAACCAAACAGCAAAGTGATGAAGCTTTAATAACGTACAAAGAAAACAGTGAATGGATTGATAACATGAAGTTTGACATTCAATATAGGTTCTTTAGTCTGTTTGATGATAATAAAATTTTGAAAGAGACTATTGATAGGTTGAAACATGATAACATAATGTTAAATGTGGAACTGTCCTTGATGAAACTCTGTCTTGATGCTCCTAACTCTGAAGTTCCTCCACTTGCTCAATATCCAAATTTTGAAAAACTAAAATTTGATTTGGAAGATTTAAGAACGGATAAGGCACGACTTGAGGGGGAACTTGAGAGAGCTAGGAAAGATAAACAACCTATAGAGTATAGAGTTCCTGATTGGATCATTAAAGCTCAAACCAAATGAACAGAAGGTTTGGGTTTCAAAAAGAAGTTCCAAAAGGAAAAGAAGTATGTTGACCTACCTAGTAGTATTGTTTGTTATTTCTGTGGTAATACAGGATACAAGTAGGTTAAGTGTCCTAAGAAAGAAAAGCGCACACAGAAAAATGAAAAACATGTTGCACAAATTTAGGTTATGAAAAATAATCCCACTCATGTTACACATTCTTCATGCAGGTTCCAGTGAGGGGGAACAACACTTGGTACCTCGACAATGGTTGTTCTAAACACATGATTGGAGACAAATCTAGATTTCTCTCACTGGATGCCTATTATGGTGGAACTGTGACCATTGGTGATAATATGAAAGGAGATATAATTGCTATTGGAAAAGTAGGAAGGTCAAGTTCCCATGCTATTTGATAGGGTCATATAAGTATGATATTACATTTATTAAGCTCTTGATATTATAATTAAAATTTCATTGTTTAAGGGTGTTTTATTTAATATTCTTCCATAGACACGAGTTACTACTATTTTATTTAGTTGTTTATAGGAAAGAGAATTTTGACATCAAAATTGATTCAATTGCTGCTCGGGATTCAAGGAAACGAAACCCCACAAATTGGGATTACTCATATTTGTATCAAGCCCAAAGTTAATGATGTAAGTGAAGCCCATCAAGAGAGACTTGATGTCCAGCAGCCCTAAAAGAAGCAGAGAAACCCCAAAAGAGGAAAACACGTTCATCTTCTCTAGGAAGCTGCTATAGGAAATCTTGACCGATTCTCGCGGGTAACAGATCATCAAACAATAGATGATAGGGATGAAATCAGTTAATTATGGGGGCGAAAAATTCGGATAGGTGGTTTTTTTTGGGGGGTCTAAGTTTTGTGGGTGGCAGTACATCAGAAGAGACAACCAGTACCTACTGCAATTGAAGGACTGAAACAAGGGTGAAGAACAATTAATAGCACTAAATTTGTTCTCTTCGTGGAATTAGCTAAGTGAATCTAATTGTCACTTTGTCAGTACCTTGTCTACTTTTAGTGGTATTACAATTTTGCTTATTACTATTTATATGCACTAGTTTTGTAGTTGGTATTGGAGTTTGGATAATTAGTTTTGTTTGATAAGTTTCATTATTGATTAAGCTTTGTTAATTAGCTATATTATGTATTTCATGATTTCTCCTTTTCTATTCTATACTATTAGTATGTCAGGCTAGATTAAATAAGGGTAGGGAGATAAATTATGCATTGGATTATTGTATTGTGAGAATAGAATTGTTATAATTATTGGGTATTATGTTTATGTCTTGATTGGATTGATAATTTGGTTTATTGATATGAACTAATCGAATTATATTTTAGACCGGCCATCTTTTGTATAGTTTACTAGTTTGATTGCTAAAGTATTAACTTGTGATACGTAATTGTCTTTGTTAATTTCCTTTGGTAGCAATTAGGTGTGTGATTGGTGACTAAAACCTTTTATAATACCTAAGATTATCAACCCTTTGAGTTGCACAAATCCGAGCTTGTGAGATTTGTGGTTTAAGTTAACTATCTCCTTGTTTTAATGCTGCTAATTAATCGAGTCTAGAGAGCTTGTTCTAGATTATTAGTTAGTTAGACAATATCCCAAGAGCTTGTTTGGTTTATTTGCACTTGAGGGAGGTTGAGTGCTTATTTGTGTTCATCGGTTAACATTAAGACATGTGCATGATTTATTTGATTCGGTGATCAATTCATAGTCCAATACTAATATATATCTTCCGATCCCTATTTAATTATCCTTGATTTTTATTGTATTTCAATTTTAGTAGTTTATTTATTATATTTTGTATTTTATTCGTCCTATAGTTCGTAGTAGTTTATTTGTGAGACCGTAGTATTATTTCTTCAAAACGGGGGTTTCTAACATACACAAGTTATAGTTTAATAACCCAATTCTCTATGGGATCGACCCTAGCTTACCCTACTACATTTTAGGAGGTTAGAGTTAAGTTTATTTTTGGTAGACACGCGACAGTCGTACCAAATTTTGGCGCCGTTGCCGGGGAATTGGCGTTTTATTTTATTATTTCTTGTGTTTTTCTAACTGTTCTTACTAACTTGTCACCTAGTTCCTTGTTCTTGTATGTGTGACAGAAATTTGAAACATCAAAGATTGAGAAATTTTGCGGCAAGGAACCAGGGACTTATAATTCATCCTTTTTCTACTCTTCCTGTAGCTAAAAGGACTCGTGCTCATATACTGGAGCAAGCTCGTCATATTCCGTTACCTCACAGTGAAAGTTCATCTTCGGACGAGGAGGGTGAATATATTTTTGAGATGGGTGATCAAACACTAAAGCAGCTTGCAGCTCCAACGTTTGATCCAAATTTATTGAGCATAGTAGACGATGAGGCAGAAATTGAGATCAAGCCGGGGTTGATTAGAGCTCTTCCCACATTTTCAGGTTTCCGTAATACTAACTCCTTGGGTTCAGTTCACATGAATGAGGCTAGCAGATTTTTGAAGGAATTTCACATAGCATGTGCGGGGATGAAACCGGCTGGTGTCACCCTCGACCAGCTCAAGTTGAAGGCATTTCCTTTAGCCTTGTCTGATGCTGCCAAGGAGTGGTTATTTGAAGTACCTGCTGGAACCATCACAACATGGGATCAAATGCTAAAAGTATTCGCAGAAAGATATTTTCCAGCATCTTTGATAGCCAATATCAGGAAAGAAATATGTGGAATTCGACAGGACGATGCAGAGACACTTCATGAGTACTGGGAACGTTTCAAGAAACTATGTGATAGTTGCCCAAACCATCAGATCAGTGAGCAATTATTAATACAGTACTTTTACGAAGGACTCAGGGAGACAGACAGGAATCTAGTTGATGCAGCAAGTGGTGGAGCACTAGTTGACAAAACACCCGCAGAGGCAAAGAAACTGATTGCAAACATGGCTGCAAACTCTCAGTATCGAGGAGGTCGAAATATCACGTCCACCTCTATACGTCAAGTTAATGAAGTGGTGAGTTCTAACCTCGAGCAACAAGTAGCTAAACTCACTTCCTTAGTGGAGCGAGTAATGATCGAAAAAGGGCAAGAAAAAGTATGTGGCCTTTGTTCAATGGTAGGACACCCAACTGATATGTGTCCTACTCTGCAAGAAGAAGAAGTGAATTCGATTGGTGGTGGTCAGGGGCAGCAAAGACGTTATGATCCATTCTCTCAGACTTATAATCCGGGGTGGAGAGATCATCCAAACCTGAGATATGGTAATGCTCAGCAGCAGGCAGGCAACTCTAACCTCAGACCACCAGCTTTCCAGCAACAGCAAGCTTCTAATCCTCCACCTGGGTTTCATCAGCAACCACAATATCAGCCGCGACCTCAAAATCAACAAGTTTCCCAGTCACAATCTGGTAGCATGTCTCTGGAAGATATTGTGAAGGTAATGGCTGACAACACTTTGCATTTCCAGCAAGAGACAAGAAGTGGTCTAAAGAACTTGGAGAACCAAGTTTCTCAGTTAGCTAACACAGTGGGAAAGCTCCAAGCTCAGAACTCTAACAAGCTTCCGAGTCAGCCAGAGAGAAATCCAAAGGAGAATGCGAGTGCAATCTCCCTTAGAAGTGGCAAGCAATTAGAGGTTCCAGCGAAAAAGACTGAAAGGCTGGCAGCACACCAAGAGGAACAAGAGACTATTGTTCCAGAGCAAGATAAGCAGCCCACTAAGGTAAAAGATGTTGTTTCTCCTAATACTGATCAGTTTAATTCTTCTGTTCCATTTCCTAGCAGGTTATCATCTAAGAATAAGAAGAGAGAGCAAGAAAAGGAGAAAGAGACCCTGGACATTTTTCGCAAGGTTGAGGTAAACATACCTTTACTGGAAGCTATAAGACAAGTGCCGCGGTATGCAAAGTTTTTGAAGGAGTTATGCACTAACAAGAGGAGATTGAGTGGAGATGAAAAAGTCAGTGTAAGTGAGAATGTGTCTGCTGTTTTACAGAGGAAAGTTCCTCCAAAGTGCAAGGATCCAGGTATTTTTACTATACCATGTAAAATAGGTAACACGAGATACGATAAATGCATGCTAGATTTAGGAGCTTCTATTAATGTCATGCCTTTATATATCTATAAAGCTCTGAACTTAGGACCTTTGAAAGACACTCGAGTGATTATTCAGCTTGCTGACCGTTCTAATACATACCCTGTAGGAGTAGTTGAGGATGTTTTAGTGCAAGTGAATGAACTGGTATTTCCTGCTGATTTTTATGTTTTAGATATGCCAAATGATGAATCCCCTAGTGCAGCACCTATCTTATTAGGAAGACCTTTTCTGAAAACATCTAGAACTAAAATTGATGTTCACAGTGGGGTGTTGACCATGGAATTCGATGGGGAGGTTATCCGGTTTAATTTATTTGATGCCATGAGATATCCCTCTGATTGTGAATCTGTTTCTAGTATAGATGTCATTGATGCACTAACTGAGCAGGTATTCTTTCTCTCTGGTCATGATGGGTTAGATGTTGTTTTGACTGCGCCTATGGAAAAAGAAAAGTATACTGACTTGCAGGAACATTTTGAGCTTAAGGGGGAAGTTAAGGAAGCTTTTTCCTCTCTGGAAATACTTCCTGATAAGCAATTAAGGTATGACAAACGGTTTATGCAGTTACCTGTCACTTCTAACAGATTGTTACCTTCTATTGTACAGGCCCCTGAAGTGGAACTAAAGCCACTGCCAGACCATCTCAAGTATGCATTTTTGGGAGAAAATGACACTTTGCCAGTCATAATCGCGAGTAATCTAACTCCGAATCAAGAGCAAAAGCTGGTGCAAGTTCTGAAGGAACATAAAACAGCTCTAGGGTGGACAGTTGCTGATATAAAAGGAATTAGCCCCTCTATGTGTCAGCATAGAATCTTATTAGAAGAGGGAGCTAAACCCGTGAGACAAGTGCAGCGACGACTTAATCCACCTATGATGGAAGTGGTGAAGAAAGAAGTAATGAAGCTTCTTAAAGTAGGGGTGATATACCCTATATCAGATAGCCCTTGGGTCAGTCCCTTGCAAGTGGTCCCAAAAAAGTCAGGAGTCACAGTGGTGGAAAACAATAAGGGAGAAATGGTTCCCACCCGAGTACAAAATGGGTGGAGAGTTTGTGTAGATTACAGAAAACTCAATTCTTTGACTCGAAAAGATCATTTTCCCTTACCATTTATTGATCAAATGGTAGAACGTCTTGCTGGTCATGCTTATTACTGTTTTCTTGACGGTTTTTCAGGTTATGTGCAGGTCCCTATAACTCCGGAGGATCAAGAAAAAACGACGTTCACATGCCCGTACGGCACGTTTGCGTATCGTCGTATGCCATTTGGACTGTGCAATGCTCCAGAGACTTTTCAGAGATGTATGGTAAGCATCTTTTCAGATTACCTTGAAAATTTCATAGAAGTTTTCATGGATGATTTCACTGTACATGGAGATTCTTTTGATAGATGCTTAGAACACCTCACTTTGGTCCTTAAACGTTGTCTTGAAACTAACCTTGTGCTTAATTCTGAAAAATGTCATTTCATGGTTCAACAAGGTATAGTTTTAGGCCATATTGTGTCGTCTGAAGGAATAAAAGTTGATAAAGCTAAAATAGATCTAATTTCTTCTCTGCCTTACCCCACCTCTGTGCGGGAAGTTCGATCTTTTCTTGGCCATGCAGGGTTCTATCGCAGGTTTATCGAAGGATTCTCGAAGATTGCGCAACCACTATGCAAACTACTCCAAAAGGATTTGGAGTTCCACTTTGATGAGGCCTGTAAGCAAGCTGAAAGACAAGTTGGTCACTGCCCCTGTTCTACAACCTCCTAACTGGGAGCTCCCATTCGAGCTGATGTGCGACGCTTCTAACTATGCTGTAGGGGCAGTGCTAGGCCAGCGAGTTGGAAAAGTTCCCCATGCCATCTACTATGCCTCAAGGACTTTGGATGCAGCTCAAGCTAATTATACTACAACTGAGAAAGAACTTTTAGCTGTAGTTTATGCTTTAGACAAATTCAGGTCTTATTTATTGGGTACTAAAATTATTGTGTTTACTGATCATGCAGCGCTGAAATATTTATGGTCAAAGGATGTATCCAAACCTAGGCTAATACGTTGGGTTTTATTGCTTCAACAATTTAATGTTGAAATAAAAGATAAAAAAGGTTCTGACAATAGTGTTGCTGATCACTTGAGCAGGTTAGTTATTGAAGCTGATGAAGGTCACGCCCCAATCAATGAAGAGTTCCCCGATGAGCAACTTCATGCCTTGAACGTAGGAACTCCGTGGTATGCTGATTTGGTGAATTTTATAGCATCTGGGAAATTTCCAGCCAGCTACACCAAGGCACAAAAGGACCGGATGCGTAGTATAGCAAAATACTACATATGGGATGACCCATACCTCTGGAAATACTGTGCTGATCAACTAATCAGAAGGTGCGTACCCGATTCTGAAATTCTGTCTATACTAACTTTCTGCCATTCTTATGCATGTGGGGGACATTTTGGACCAAAGAGAACCGCACGCAAGGTTTTAGAGAGTGGATTCTACTGGCCATCCATATTTAAAGATGCATATGAAATCTGTAAGGCATGTGATAGTTGTCAAAGAACAGGTACACTAGGTCCTAGGAATGAAATGCCCCATACTCCTATCTTAATATGTGAAATCTTCGACGTTTGGGGTATGGATTTTATGGGTCCCTTCATCTCTTCTTTCGGTTTTCAATATATTTTGCTTGCTGTCGATTATGTCTCGAAATGGGTGGAAGCTATAGCCACCCGTACTGATGATTCTAAAGTTGTTGCAGAATTTTTGAAATCAAATATTTTTGCTAGATACGGATTCCCGAGAGCCATCATCAATGACAAGGGGACACACTTTTGCAATAAGACAATAGGAGCTCTCTTGAAGAAGTATAATGTGTTTCATCGAGTGTCCACTGCATATCACCCACAAACAAATGGACAGGGAGAAGTCTCCAATCGAGAAATCAAGTCCATTCTAGAGAAGACTGTGAATCCAAACAGGAAAGATTGGAGTCTCCGCCTCAACGATGCTCTGTGGGCGTACAGAACAGCGTATAAAACTCCGATCGGGATGTCTCTTACAGGCTTGTGTTTGGTAAACCTTGCCATCTGCCAGTAGAATTGGAACACAAAGCCTTTTGGGCCGTGAAACAATGCAATATGGAAATGGATGCAGCGGGGAGCACAGGAAACTTCAATTGCAAGAACTTGAGGAAATCCGAAATGATGCTTTCTAGAATGCGAGAATTTACAAGGAGAAGACCAAGGCATTCCATGATGAGCGCATAACACGAAAGACATTTACAGTGGGGCAGAAAGTTCTCTTGTACCATTCTCGGCTCAAACTATTTCCTGGTAAACTCCGTTCTCGATGGGTGGGACCATTTGTTGTCACAAAGGTGTATGAGCATGGTGCAGTGGAGATTCGCAGTGAAGATACGGGGAAGGAATTCAAGGTGAACGACCATCGACTCAAGCCGTACTATAAGGGTCATCAGGTCCAAAACGTTGAAGTGATGGAGCTAGAAGTTCCAAATTATGACAACTAGCATGCTGAAAAGGCGTCGAGCTAACGACGATAAATAAAGCGCTATTGGGAGGCAGCCCAAATTTATTTTGTTTGTTTTTGTCATTTTATTTTTAAGTTTATATTTCTGTTTTCTTTCTTAAAAAAAAAAAAAAAAAAAAAAAAAAAAAAAAAAAAAAAAAACAATCTGGACACTGAAGTTGCTTGTTTTAGTGTGATTTGTTTCAGAGCACAGCCAGGTGTAAAGTTGCAGCACCAATCTTTTTATACATGAAGCCATCAGGCTAGCTACACATCTCAGCAGCAGCCTGGAAGCATCCAACACGAGGCTCGCTGCATTAGACAGAACCATTTTCTCTCCAATAATAGCAAGACATGAGCAAATTTCAACTTGGGGGATGCTACTAGGGCAGTCAGTGCTCACATTCCACTAACTAACTTCACCAGGTGAGCTCGTTTCCTTCTCCTTCTATTTTCTTCCTTTTATTTTGCTATTACTAATTTTCATTCAGTTACACATTGAGGGCAATGTGTGACTTAAACTTGGGGGGGAGTGAGTTATGTTTGGTATGGTATTGAGTCTGGCAGTCTGTGTCGACAGTGCTTTGCTTATGTTCTTAACAATATTCACTCTACTATGCTTAACTTTGGCTTATAGGCTTGTATATATGCAGATTTTTTTTTAAAAAAAAAAAAAAAACATGGCTCTTTGAACAATTACAAGCTGATGGAAGTCAACGTTGTAATGTTATAATAAGAATGAAATGATTTAGGCATAAAGGCATTTGCACCAAAATAGCCAAAAAGCTTACATGATCCACTAATCAAACAATTTGAGCCTTATTGACCTATTTTTCTGGTTATCTAATTCAAATACCATTGATCTGAAAAAATTAACCCAGATGTTTACCTTCTCTTGGATTAGTAGAGCAATGCATGTGTAAAGTGGATTATCAGTGTGGCAGTGTTTTATTCTAATTAATGTTTCATATTAAAGGCTCTGCGTACCAATGGATGGGATCAAAAAAAAAAAAAAAAAAAAAAAAAAAAAAGAAAAAAGATCAGAACCCATAAATGTACGTGTGGTGTTTTATGTATCGTAGTTGAGTAACTCGAGTTAGTAAATCCGTAGGGGTTTCTTCAAACCTAGTGCCTTGGGACAACTGGACCGGGAGTCATTGGTTGAAAGCTCGTTACATGGGTTTCTTGACAGATACATAGCATTTAGAGTCATGAAACAAAATAAAAGGAGGGAAAGTCATGAAGCTCCAAAAGTTATAAGAGGTGTGATTTTATAGTTTATGTATTAATTCTTGAGGCTCTACTAGTCATAGAGTTTTTTTTTATCATCACATTCTTTAAAATATGACACACCTTTATCTACCTTAACCCCTGCATCCTTTTATAAGTCCTAATAATCTTTCAAACTACTTCACCACATTGTTGATGCAAAGTAGGCTGTGATTGGTCTAAGAGCTGGTATTTGATTTCTAATCTCATAAATAAGTTTCCTTCTGCATATACTACTTGACTTGAGGCTGTTATTGAACAATATAGAGTACATGTTACAGCATGTTAGCCTGTTATATTATATATTGTTATATCAAGAGTTCTAACTCCTTTGTGATTTCATGTCTTTGCTTGAGGACAAGCAAAATTATAAGCTTGGGGGAGTTTGATAGGGTCATAAAAGTATGATATTACATTTATTAAGCTCTTGATATTATAATTAAAATTTCATTGTTTAAGGGTGTTTTATTTAATATTCTTCCATAGATACGAGTTACTACTATTTTATTTAGTTGTTTATAGGAAAGAGAATTTTGACATCAAAATGGATTCAATTGCTGCTCGGGATTCAAGGAAACGAAACCCCACAAATTGGGATTACTCATATTTGTATCAAGCCCAAAGTTAATGATGTAAGTGAAGCCCATCAAGAGAGACTTGATGTCCAGCAGCCCTAAAAGAAGCAGAGAAACCCCAAAAGAGGAAAACACGTTCATCTTCTCTAGGAAGCTGCTATAGGAAATCTTGACCGATTCTCGCGGGTAACAGATCATCAAACAATAGATGATAGGGATGAAATCAGTTAATTATGGGGGCGAAAAATTCGGATAGGTGGTTTTTTTTTGGGGGGTCTAAGTTTTGTGGGTGGCAGTACATCAGAAGAGACAACCAGTACCTACTGCAATTGAAGGACTGAAACAAGGGTGAAGAACAATTAATAGCACTAAATTTGTTCTCTTCGTGGAATTAGCTAAGTGAATCTAATTGTCACTTTGTCAGTACCTTGTCTACTTTTAGTGGTATTACAATTTTGCTTATTACTATTTATATGCACTAGTTTTGTAGTTGGTATTGGAGTTTGGATAATTAGTTTTGTTTGATAAGTTTCATTATTGATTAAGCTTTGTTAATTAGCTATATTATGTATTTCATGATTTCTCCTTTTCTATTCTATACTATTAGTATGTCAGGCTAGATTAAATAAGGGTAGGGAGATAAATTATGCATTGGATTATTGTATTGTGAGAATAGAATTGTTATAATTATTGGGTATTATGTTTATGTCTTGATTGGATTGATAATTTGGTTTATTGATATGAACTAGTCGAATTATATTTTAGACCGGCCATCTTTTGTATAGTTTACTAGTTTGATTGCTAAAGTATTAACTTGTGATACGTAATTGTCTTTGTTAATTTCCTTTGGTAGCAATTAGGTGTGTGATTGGTGACTAAAACCTTTTATAATACCTAAGATTATCAACCCTTTGAGTTGCACAAATCCGAGCTTGTGAGATTTGTGGTTTAAGTTAACTATCTCCTTGTTTTAATGCTGCTAATTAATCGAGTCTAGAGAGCTTGTTTTAGATTATTAGTTAGTTAGACAATAACCCAAGAGCTTGTTTGGTTTATTTGCACTTGAGGGAGGTTGAGTGCTTATTTGTGTTCATCGGTTAACATTAAGACATGTGCATGATTTATTTGATTCGGTGATCAATTCATAGTCCAATACTAATATATATCTTCCGATCCCTATTTAATTATCCTTGATTTTTATTGTATTTCAATTTTAGTAGTTTATTTATTATATTTTGTATTTTATTCGTCCTATAGTTCGTAGTAGTTTATTTGTGAGACCGTAGTATTATTTCTTCAAAACGGGGGTTTCTAACATACACAAGTTATAGTTTAATAACCCAATTCTCTATGGGATCGACCCTAGCTTACCCTACTACATTTTAGGAGGTTAGAGTTAGGTTTATTTTTGGTAGACACGCGACAGTCGTACCACTATTGATGATGTATTTTTAGTCGAGGGTCTCAAACACAACTTGTTAAGTATTTCACAATTCTGCGACAAAGGTAACTCTGTTGGCTTTACTTCTAATAAGTGTCAAATCATACACAATGACACTGGGAACATAATCTTAGAAGGAACTCGAAAAGGGAACACATATGTTGTGGATCTTAACGAGGTTCCTAACAGTAGTCTAACACGTCTTAGTGTTATATAGGATGATCCTCTTTTATGGCACAAGAGATTTGGTCATGCAAGCTTTGCTTTACTTGATAAACTTAGATCTAAGGAAATAGTGGAAGGACTTCCTTGCATTAAGTTCCTGTATGACAAAGTTTATGATGCTTGTGTTAGAGGAAAACAGACTCGAATTTCTTTCAAGTCCAAGAAAACGGTAAGTACCAAAAGACCTTTGGAACTTATTCATATGGATCTGTGTGGTCCTATGAGAATCCAAAGTAGAAGTGGTAAGAGATATGTAATGGTTATTGTTGATGATTTTTTTAAGGTTTACTTGGGCTTTCTTTTTTGTTAGCAAAGATGAAACATTTGATGAATTTGTAGCCTTTGTAAAGAAAGAATAGAGAAGAACAGTTAATCTATTGATTCACCTCAGATCAGATCATGGAACAGAATTTGAAAACTCAAGGCTTGATGAATTCTGCACTGAGCATGGGATCGATCACAACTTCTATGCCCCAAGAACTCCACAACAAAATGGAGTGGTAGAACGCAACAACAGAAGCCTTGAAGACATGGCTAGAACAATGTTGATCTCAAGTGGACTGCCTAGGAACTTCTGGGCGGAAGCAGTCAACACAGCTTGCTATATTCTTAACAGAGTATGTTAGAGCTATCACTAACAAGACTCCTTATGAACTAATCAAAGGGAGAAAGCCTAATATCTCTTACTTTAGATCTTTTGGATGTAAGTGCTTTGTTCATAATAATGGTAAAAGGAACTTGGGAAAGTTTGATGAACGTAGTGATGAGGCAGTATTCTTAGGATATTCTTCAAATAGCAAAGCCTATAGAGTTTATAATAAGAGAACAATGTGTGTTGAGGAATCTGTACATATTATATTTGATGAAATTGAACAGCTAACTGATGTACAGGATTGTGATGATGACTTTGAAATTGGACTCGTGCGCAATCAGAACCTAGATGAGGAACCATCATTATTGCAGAAGCAGAAAGTGGAAATTGTGTGAGAAATGAATCCAGAAGCAAATGCAGCCTGAAGTAGAGAATGCACTAGGAACTCCAGGTCAAGAACAGAATCAAGATCAGAATGTAAATCAAAATGAGGAACCTCCTGTTGAAGTACCTACTGAGATTCAAGACAGAGTTCCTACAGAAGAACCAGTCAACAACAATCAGGAAAGGTTGTATTCAGTCAGGGATTTTACTCCAAAACGATGGAAACATCAGAAATCACATCCCGTAGATGCAATCATGAGTGATATTACAAAAGGAACTCAGACTAGATCTCAGCTTAGGAACTTCTGTGCATTCTACGCATTCCTTTCTTCTATGGAACCTAAGAACTATGTTAAAGCTTTAACTGACGCGGACTGGATTAATGCTATGCAAGCTGAATTAAATGAGTTTTAAATAAATGAAGTTTGGCATTTGGAACCTAGACACAAGGATAAGAAGACTATTGGTCTAAAATGGGTGTTTAGAAATAATCTGGATGAGCATGGTATTATTGTCAGGAACATGGAAAGACTTGTAGTTCAAGGTTTCAATCAACAAGAAGGAATAGACTATGAAGAGACATTTGCTCCTGTAGCCAGGTTAGAGGCTATTCGTTTACTCATTGCTTTTGTTGCTTAGAATGGGATTCACGCTGTTCCAGGTGGATGTTAAATGTGTATTTCTAAATTGATTTCTAAATGAAGAAGTCTATGTGGAACAACCTCCTGGGTTTGAAAATCTAGAGTTCCCAAATCATGTCTATAAGCTTGACAAAGCTCTTTATGGGCTGAAGCAAGCTCCTAGAGCATGGTATGAAAGATTGTCAAAGTTCCTATTGAAAAATGGTTTTAAATGAGGTAAAATAGATAAAACTTTGTTTTTAAAATCAAATGGAACTGATATATTAGTTGTACAAATTTAAGTTAATGATATTTTATTTGGTGCAATTAATGAATCTTTGTGCAAGTATTTTGCTGACCTAATGAGTGGAGAATTTGAAATGAGTATGATGGGAGAATTAAACTTCTTCATCGGATTGCAATCAAGCAAACTGAAGAAGGAATCATGATCCATCAACAAAAATATATCAAGGAACTCATCAAGAAATACAAGCTAGAAAATGCTAAGACCAATAATACTCCTATGGGTATTACAACTAGATTAGATGAAGATCCAACTGGAACTTGTGTTGATCAATCTATGTATCGAGGTATGATAGGTTCTCTACTTTATCTAACAGCTAGTAGACCTGACATATCTTTCAGTGTAGGTTTGTGTGCCAGGTTCCAAGCAAACCCAAAGGAATCTCACTTGAAAGCAGTAAAGGGAATCCTTAGATATTTAAAAGGAATTGATGACTTGAGTCTCTAGAAGTTACTCTTTTGATTTAAATGGCTTTACTGATGCTGATTATGCAGGTGATTTGGTCAATAGATTAAGCACTTCATGTATGGTACAGTTTTTAGGACCTTGTTTAGTTTCTTGGGGTTCCAAGAAGCAAAACACAGTTGCAATGTCTACAGCTGAAGCTGAGTACGTGATGTG